CTCATGGCTGGTACCCACAGTCCCCTGGGTGAGTGACACAGAGAGAGCAGCGCAGAAGCTGCAGCGACTTCCACGTCGCTCACCTTGGAAGCCACGTGTCATTTCGCAATATTCACTGGGTGACGCAGGTTAGCCCTGCTGAGTATGGGAGGGGACGCGAACACTGGGACACACCCAGCAAGGGTCACCGGGGTCATCTTAGAGGCAGTCTATCACAGCTGCCTGCTGGTCCTGCTGCTGCTGCCCGTGGGAGATGGTCTGTCCGATGCCTGAACGTCCCCAAGAGCTGTGTAAATCGTGGAAATGCCCGAATATCCTTTTAGAGAAGGGTCAACGGTTCCTGATCTCCCACCCGCCTCAGACAGGTGGCTGCTCAGTGCCGTGCCCCAGCCCCCACTCCTTGGCTGCCCAGTCCTCTGTGTGTGAGGACGCCTAGAAAGGAGCTGCCCACCAACCAGTCCCACACCATGGCTTCGGAGGCAAGGGAAAAGCCAGGGCCACCCACGAAATCTTGCAGCTGGAAGACTGCTCTCACAGGGACATCTGGTGTCCCCAAAGAGTTAACAAACCCTCCCTAAGTATCTGGGTGATACCTGGGAAGCTCTGGGGAGAATGTGGCCTTACTGGATTTCTGCTCTTTTCCTGGAGGGGAAATAACCTTGCTGACTCAGATAGGAGTAGCGAAGCCAGTCGTGAGCAGTGGCTGGGATCACCTCTCGTGGATGCTGTGGAAATGCCAGTGAACTTCCAGTATTTCCCGCAAGATGATCGAACCTAATTGCCGCTGTTCCATTTTAAATTTAAGAATGAGTAGATGCTGGGCGGTTAATATACGTTACCTCTGCTGATCTCTACAGGAGCCCTGAGCAGAGGTGTTAGGTCCACCAGTTAACAGAGGAGCAAACAGAGGCTCTGGGCGGGGTGGCTGAATGACTGGCCCAGTTCCCAGCTAGCCCACCTGGGAGCCAGGATTCCGCCTGGGCGTGCCTGACTCCGGGGCCCATGTGACACTGCTCTCTGGGAGTTCTTGAACAGAGAAAGGGCATCCATCAGGCGAGGGAGAGCGATGGGAGGAGCTCCCAACCACAGCAGCAGGGGCAGGAGGGGAGGGGGCTGCAGAGACACACAGGAGGCCTCCTGTTAGGAACCTTCTTTCCGACCATCCCCTGAGGCTTTCCATTTGCAACCTTTCCTCCTCTTAGGCAGCAGTGACACCAGATCAGTGTTAAGGGCTGCAAACCCCATCTCCCTCCTCCTCCAGGAGAATCGGGTTGTTAATAATAATAGCTACTCCGTGCCAGGCCGCCTGCTAAGTTAAGCACCACCTTTGAAAAATCCTCACAACATTCCTAGGAGGTAAGTAAGTAGTCTCCCCGCATTTGACAGCCAGGGAGGTGGAGGATGCTGGAATTCAGGAACGTCTTCAAGGTCACAAAGCCTCAGGTGCCAGTGCTCACATCCCGTCCAGGCTCTCTGACTCTGAGGGCCGGCGGGACTCCTACCACCGGGTTCTAGCAGACAGGGGCTGGGGGTCGGTGGCCACGTGGCCCTTCCATCTTCGCTGGAACACAGAAAGGGCTGGGTGTCCTCACTTTCCCTGGGAAAAGGCTCTCAAACAGCGCCCACTTGGGGAGCCTCCTACACGCGGGCTGGCCCCAGACAGGTCCGGAATCCTCTCCAGCATTCCGGGTTGGACAGCATCTTGGGCTCCCAGCGCGAGGGCCAAGTCGGTGCACCGAGAGAGGTTCCCGGGCCCTGGAGGGTGGGAGCGCCAGGCACTGCTGCGCCTGCGGCTCTGCGCCCAGGTCCCTATTTTTCTCCCAGAGGTCTGTCTGCTCCTCTGGTGGCCATGGGAAGGAGGAGGGAGGGAGAAGGGAGGAGGGAGAGGGCGCCCTGCTCCTGGGCCGCCGAGGCCCTGGAGGCTTTGTGTGTACGGAACTGGATTCCCCCCTCCCGTCCCCGCCTCCCGTTCCCGCTTTCCTTCCCCCAGACCGAAGTCCCAGTAGAGTATCCAGCAATTAGCACGCGAGGAGGGGGTGGACGGCGGCGGCGGCGGGCAGGAGTGGGGGCGGCGAGACCCCCCTCCAGCTCCGGGATCGGCCGGGCGCTCGCGTCTGCGCTGCCTTCGTGCGCCACCTACCGGCTGCCCGGGGTCGCTGCGGCGCGCGCCGAAGCTGTTCCTAGGCAGATCTTGATCTCCGTGGACAATGGGGTTTTTTTTTTTTTTTGGAACAATGATTTATTTCGGGGGAGGGGGGATGGGAACAAGGAGGAAGGAGGGAGGAGGAAGCAGCAGTGTGTTTGTCATCGCTTTAGAAAAAAAAAAAAT